AAAAAAAAAAAAAAAAAAAAAAAAAAAGAAGAGGCATTTATGGTGTAGAGCAAACCTTGCAGAAGCTATCATCACTCCCAGAGTAAATAAGATGGCTAGTTTCATCAGCAAAACATACAGTGTTCACATCAGACTGCAACATGATATGAAAAATGTTATAACCTCTATGTTAATATTTTTGAACCTTTTGAAGTCAGCACAATAGGAAAATAATTTCTGCATGAAATGAAAAACAATTGAAGTCCATTCCAAATCATATATTTTGGCTTGGATATTTTTATTAATTTCCATCCGTAGTTTGGGGGGAGGTAGGGGTACTGAGAAGCAGTGTGGTTCACAAGCCAGGTTATTCATAACATCTCTGGATTTATCTATTTCTTATACACCAATATAGTGAATCATATTTGTTAGAGTCTATTTGGATAAAAGCTTAAAAGCGCTTTTGAAAACTTCTCTATTGAAAAATACTCTATATTTTCAATAGAGAAGCTTATAAAAGTACTTCTACCTTGTATCCAAACAAGCTCTTAGTCTTCTGGATATTTCAAAGGCAAATAAGGGATTAGACCTTTAACATACCTCTCGGCCAAAAGAAGATGCAGAAATCTGTGTTAATTACTAGTAGTAATTTCATATTTCATAACCAAAGCTATTCTCTCAAATCATATTGATTTTTGCACACAAGCAAGCAAAACATAAACTTAGCATTGTGAGCTCAAAAAGAAGCAAGGTATAAAATCAAGATTCCTCCTTAGGATACAAAAATCTACCCACATTCTCCAAATTTCTATACATTTTAAATTCTATTTACAAATATATCAATAACATACAAAATCTCAAATAGAATTTCAAAGGCACTAATGTGAACACACTGCCAATACATAAAGAGGTTCGAATTCAGTTGAGCCATCTATAACACAGAATATAAACTGCCCCATCAACTTATCCGCAATCAATTCTATATAGCTTGTAGAGACTGCAATTATATCATGAAGTCATGTCATTTAATTCATTCTACAACAAAATTACATAAACCAATAGATATCACACAATAGCACAAATACTGTGAAGCCAAATAAATGTATTATTTATGGCAATGCCTAGTAAAAATACCGTGTGAGCTAAAATTCGAAGTGAGAGCTTATTTGCTTCGAGATCATATACATATATAGAATCACCACTACTTCCTGCAACTAATTCTCTCCCATCTTTTGAGAATTTCACAGAGAAAATTCCAAAAGAGTATCCCCCATCATCATTTGATGAAAAATCTAAGCCATCGTGTATCTCCTGCATATTAGAAGAAATGAAAATATATTACAAATAGGAAAAGAATATCACTAAAAACACCCTTCAAAAAAAAAAGAATATCATTAAAAACAATCCATACACCAAATCTACCAGTAACGATTGACAGCTTGACACGTTTTGAATATCTATTGTTCTGTAATATTTTATAGCTTTCAAGACAATTGCAGTATTTATGGAATTAGGAGGGGGGAACAGTAGCTTTAGTTGTGAATACCGTAACATTTGCTAGGGACTCTGTTTCAGCAGATCCGGCATTTACAATGTGTACAATGGGTGACATACTGGCATAAACCTGAAATTGAAGAGTGCAAATGCCATAAGTAAAAGCCTAAAAATAGTAGAATTATACAATAGTACCTTTACAGAAAGAAAACAATAGATTCAAAGGGTGTAGAACACATTAACTTACCAGATGGCGTTGATCAGGCGAAAGAGATGTATCAGTGATTGTCCATCTCAAACTTTTAGCTAGAATGTTCTTCTGAACTTTCCAACCTTTGTCCACATTGTATATTCTTATGTGACTTCCCTGCAAAGTGACTTAATTGGAATCAAAACTATAGCAGGCATATAAGGTTGAATCTGAAAATGTTGTACCTGGAACCCAGCAACAAAAAGAGTACCATCAGCTGAAAACTGGGAGATATATGCCCGACTAGACATTTGATCAATAAGCCAGGGACCATTTACAGGCAAATATCTGCTCAAAAGATGACATCGATCGGCTGAAGAAAACCTTCCCCGTCCTGAGTAATTAGATTCCCGACCCACCAGCATCTTCACAGGAGAAACAGGCAACTCTGGCCTTCCAGTTCCAACTTGGACTAATTGCTGATGGGGAGTTGACTTCAACTTCGTTATCTGAGCAATTTCATTGTCTAAATTTTTTACTAGCCTTTTAGTTTGTCCACTACTAGAATGGATGGCATCTCCATCTTCACAGAGACTGGATTCTACCTCCAGTCTACTCATAGCATAACCCATTTCGTCAATGTAAAGTGCACTGGCTGTGGCATACATAACTATTCACAAAAACAGGCAAAATTTTGTAATGCCGGAGCATTTTATCTCCCGCAAAACCTTCATAAAATCCCTGTTTTCGTCAATCCTACGAAAAAGAAACTACAGCCGCAGAAATGAGTAAATTTTTAGATTTCATTCTTCACATAAATAATTAGAAACCATTATTAGCAAAGGGAAAAATATGAAACAATGAATAATCAAAGATAAATCTATTTCATTTCTCACTAGAAAGTTAACACACTACAGTTGACTCAAGTTAAGCTCTTTCCTAGAGAAAAAACATCTACATATTAGTATCGATTTGGAAGAGCTTTCTGTTTTCACCTTAAAATGGGGTTGGTTTGTCGTGTTTTAACGAAATTCAACAACCTTCGAACGACCCATATAAGGTTCCATGTCAGGGAACTTGGCAAACATGATAACATTCTTAATTCTAAAGAGTATTTGCGAAACTAAACAACCCACCTCGCTGCACTCAAAACCCTGTCCATGTTCCAGAAACAAATTTTACGAGAAAAGATGGTAAAACAGGAACGAATTAAGAATTATCGCACCTGTTCCCCTTATCCCTAACAAATAATTTTCCAGCGTGCACAACAATTATCGTCAAAACAAAGTGAAAGTCAACTGAAACGTCAAAGCAAGGAATTGGTGCCGAGTGGCTTGGAGAGTCGCAATTTACATGAGAGGAAATAGGAAATAGGAAATAAATTAAAGGAAAGAGATTCGATTTAATTATGTAAATCTTTGACATAAAAAATAATATAGTGGTACCTCTTAGAGTCTTAAGAGCTTTGGATGAGAAGTGATATCTATGTAACCAAAAGGGTAACATTCGAGGGATTTTTCTGCTTTTGGCGCACAAACAATCACCCCAGATATGCGTATCATGTTATTATTTGTATTACCATTAACTTTTGGATAAAGGGTTGGTGAAGGTGAACAAGATTCTCTACACTGCATGTGCAGGTGGGAAGCAGCCGCAACCGCAAGTCCGCAACACACAAATCACAAATGTCCCTATGTATTTTCTTCTTTTCTTTCTTATTTCACTTATTTCTATTTTCAATGGCTTAAATTTTTTTTTTTCTGCAAAATTAAATTCTGTTCAATATTTACTAAGAATAAAACCTTTCAAGATTTCATTAATATCATATCATGTGGCATTCAAAGAAAGAAGAGTAATCCTCATATAAAATTGTTAAGATTGTAATTGAAATGGTAAGTGATTAAAAACTATTGAAATGAGTCGCGATCTAATAATAATAATAATAATAATAGAGAAATTAGTATATATATATAGAGAGATTTAGATTTAAATATGTTGTTGTTATTGTGATTATGATCAATAAGAAATTTATAAATATTTATAATAATTAGTTTAATTTTTATTGTTAAAATAATTTTTAATTAATGGATAATATAATTAACTTTATCTTTGAATGTTTAGATCAAAAGACTTTATCACCTGGCGTTTGGTGACTTTTAAAATTTTTACATCTTAATTTTTTCTCTTTTTACTTCAATTTCTTGTTTGAATCTTCAATTATTTCAATAAAACACTTTAATTTGATTTCAACTTTAATTTAAAATAACACTTTGGAGAAATCAATTCATCCGCCAAATGCATCTCCCAGTACTTAGAAAATTAACAAAGTTACATGGACAGTAATAAGGGTATTTTTTTTTTTGGGTTAAATAGGGACCAAAGGCCCAAACTAAAAACCTATAAAAAAAAAAAGAAGAAGAAGAAAGAGTTGATACATCAATCAACAAAAGAATCCAAATTTAGTAAAAAAACATGTACCCTTTCTGTCATTAATCATCTATGCTTTGCTAGTATATTTGCTACCTAGTTAACTTCTCAATAAACATGTCTACAAGTTATCTCTTTATCTTCATCTACCACATTCACAACCATGTTAACCAATGTGTAACATGAGTGATGCTGAAAACAACCATTATTCAAGAATTTGACTACTAGAGTCGAATCAAATTCCACTAGAATATTCTCATTTAAAATAATATCATGAGCTATTTTTAAGCCATGATAAATAGCCCATAATTCAGCCTAAAGCATCGAACACGATCCTAAGTTGCAGGAAAAGCCAACCACAAAGGATCTAAAATAATCGTGAATAACTCCACCACAAGAAGCAATACCTTCACTAACTACACCATCACAATTTAATTTGTAACAACCCCCAAAGGGGCAATCCCAATGAGTAGTGATCGGCCTCATAGAACTTGGTAATGTTAGGCAATCTTGCCTAGTGTTCATCCTCCCTATTTCTTGACCACGACTACAGATCTAGTGGGCAAGTTTTAAGGAATCAACTATTTCTCCTTTAAAAATGTACCTATTACGAAACTGTTAGATAGATCAATACCAATAGCAAACACAACCTCCCAATTAGCCACCATTTGTTGTTCTATTTATATTCTCTTCCAACTATTTTCTAATATCCATATTTAAAAATAGAGTTGGGACATTGCCATGAAATAAAATATGCCAAACTCGTGCAACATAATAGTAGTCCTAAAGCACATGCAAAGTTGTCTCTTCTCCCCACCATGCACAAAGGGTAGCGAGTGTCAATTGCCATCCCTCTACACATACGCCCTGCATCAGTTAAAAGTCCCAGATGCGCAACCTTCCACATAAAGACTTTTATTCTTTTTTGCCTTGTCCATTTCCAAATGCATTCAAAAATTGTATTATTGGTCTCAATTGGTAGTTTTACCCTTAAGCACTCATACCCTATCTTTATACTATATTACTCATTATGAGTCATATTCCATGCAATGATATCAGCTTCCTCATACAACGTCAATGGTGCATGACCAATTATTACACACCAAACACGAGAAGGGATAAGGTTTTGGACCTCTTCCAAGTCCCACTCCCCCTACTGGTTGACGTAGTTAGCATCAACGGGACCTCACTTGTAGTGATATTTACGATAACTGGAAGGTTTGGTAGTCAAGGATCTAACCAAAATTGCACACTAGTTCCATCTCCAATTTCCCAATAGAGTTGGTTCTTAACAAAACCCCATGTAGAACACATACCCTTCCATAGACTCAAAACTTGAGATCTACATTGTATGTTCGGTATGCCTTCAAGACTTTGACCCATAACTTATTAGGTTGTGTGCACACCTCCCAACATCTTTTCATCATAAACAAGGAGTTCATGTGTTTTGTACTTTGAATACTAAGTCCACCCTCTCTTTTTGGCTTACATACAACAAACCAAGCTGCTACATGCACTCTCTTCTCTCTAAGTTGTTGTCAACCCAAATAAAACTACAACAAAGCTTATCAACTTTATTGCACAACTGTCTAGGTAGATATGTTGTCTACATGACATACAAAGGCAAAGCAATAACATTGACTTGGTGAAAGTTATCCTTCTAGCCAAGGATAAATGTTTAGTCTTCCAGCTACTCAACCTTTGATGCACCTTATTCATAACCCTTTTATACAAGGACCAACTCACTTTATGATGATGAATTAGGACCCCTAGTTATTTACCCAAATTTTATGTTCGTTGGAAACCAAACTCCTTATTGATTTGTTCTCTAACATTCCAAGAGACGTTTTTAGAGAAGAAAATCCTTGTCTTTTCCTTACTCACCTTTTGACCAGAACTATTGTAGAAAAGCTCCAAGCATGCTTGTATTACTTCCACCTGGTCTAAGGATGCTTCTACAAACAAAACTACAAACATAAGAGTAGAGGAACCCCCACTAGATATCTGAATTAGTTTCCATAACTTTTGTAAGAATGCAATCTTAATGAGATGGAATAACCTCTCTATGCAAAGGACAAATAGATATGAAGATGAAGGATTTCCCTTACCCCGTTTGCAAAGGACAAATATATATATATATATATATATATATATATATAATATTTTGTCCCCTTGTGTTGATAATTTAAGAAGGAACATCAAGGTAAAAGAAGGTAGAATGATAATATCAATTTTTTCTCTATTTTTCAGGAAAAGAGAAATTTTTAAGTTTCACCATTCAAGCCTTGAGCTACTATCGCAGCTATGGATCTATGAAGCTTAAACAGATTCTTCGCACCATGGCTCCAAACCAGCAATGAAGCAATAGAAGCTCAGCAAATTTTGGGCGCCATGGCGCCCAACCAGCACTTAAGCTGTAGAAATTTGGAATTAATTGGGAAATAGGGCATTTCATCGCCACAACGGTGAATCAGCACTCAAGCTGTGGAGTTTACTTCAAACTAAAGTACTTTTTAGCACTACAGTTGTGAGCCACCATCATAGCGATGGAAGAACAAAACTTCAAATTTTCCTCTATTTTGAAAGTCAGATAAATACCATTTGGGAATAATAAAAAAAGTGAACACATGAGGAAAAGTGAGGAAAAGAGAGAAAATAAGGAATGAAGGATATTTGATGAACAAGATTGTTTGGGAACAAGGACCATCAATTCTTTTTCTCTTCTTCCAATTTATAGGTTGTATAGCATTCTCTTCCGGTTGGGATTGAGTTTATTTGTCAATCTTGATGTAAACTCTTTCAAGTTTATATATGTAGAATTCAGTTATTCATGGTGGTACTTGATTCAATGCTTAATGTTTCTTTTATATGATTTTGATTTCTAATATAGTTGGAAACCATATTTGTGATCTAAACTGAATCAAAACGCTTGATGATTATTTGATGTTTAGGAATAGCTTCAAATTCATCAATCAAAACAATCCATGAACTTAATGCAAGAACATTAAATTAATACATTGAGGGATCAAGTATTGATTTAAGATTCTTAGAGTTTCAAGCTTGAGGAATCAATTTAAATGAATATTTGTGGATTGGAATTATGAATGAGTGAATAAATTTTGATAAAAAAGAGTACTGAGAACTTTATAAAATGAACATCAATCCCAAAATCTATGAAATATAAGGACTTATGACACTTAATCCTTGTATCAAGTTCTTTTTACAAGTTGATAATAGCCTATTCATGTTTTAATGTCCACAAATCTCTGAAAACAATATTTGATCTATACTACTTCCAACGTAATATATTTGCTGAATCAAAAATTAACAATCATATATGTGAACCAAATTATTTCTATATTGAGTATTAAATATAAATATTTTTATAAAATTATTTTCAACTTTTTGTCTCCCATGGTAGGTGATTTTATTGAAATAAGTTGATTTTTAACTTTAAGTTGGAATCAATTTACTTCGACTTTTATAAAAGTTTTCTCCTTTAATTTTTTTAAAAGTTGATGTTAATAAGTTAATTTTAATTTATCAAATAAATTTATTTCACTTTTTTAAAGTACTTATGAAAATTTTATTCAAATGAAATGAATATATATAGAAAATATAAAAACCTTACACAATGTGTTCTTGGGAATATAGGATAGTGTGGAAAAGAGTCTTCATTTGAAACTTCAAAATTATGTTACAATATGGCTAGTGGATCATATTTGGATAGACTTGTTGAGTAATAAATTTTAACTCGTGAATTTATAGGCATGTTTGTATTCGTGTGGTGGTACAAAATGTTGTTTTCTCATTTTCTGCTTGAATAAGTGTGGTGATACAAAATGTTGTAATGAGTATCCAAACATGCACTTAATTAACTGAATGATTCGCACAGTTGTTCTCTTTTGAAAATGGATAGGAAAATGATCACTCTAAACCCTTGGGAGCAAGGACTTGATGCTAGATAGAAAATCAGAAGAATCATAGGTGACCAAAGAGAGCATCTAATTGCTCGAAAACCATTTCCCAAGCAATCATCAATCCATGAAGAATTGTAGCTAGCTCTGCATGAACGTTATTTCAGAGCTCAATATGGCTATGCAAACCAATCAACTAATTCCTTATGAAAAAACATGACAAATTCTATCCAACAGTAAGGTTGCAACTTGCAAGGAAGTAAACCTCATTACTCTGAAGTGTGAACCAAATGGACAATCTCCTCATGCACAAAATCA